TAATAAATTAAATTAAATTATATATTATTGTATTTACACTCATGTGCTATTCACCCAAAAATAGTTACTGTAAAATATTTTATTTTATTTTGGCGGAAAAGACTTTTGAGTACACACTGTTGTAGTGTACTACGTTTTAAAGCAGAATTTTTCAACTGTGTGCCGACTTCTACCAATAGAGCAAATACAGTAATAGCTATTTTTATATTGTATATCATTTGGCTGGTATAATTATAGACTTGTATATCACATACTTGATTGTTGCAGTCAAAACTAAATTTTGTTTTATAATAATTCATACGCGCATCTAGAATAATTTTTGCTTGTTGTGCTAGTTGATCACACTGTCACCTGAAAGGGCCCTGCATTGTTACATTATCAGTCATGCATAGTTCGTTGACCTCCATTGTTAGTTGTCTTGCAAATGCAACTATGTTTCATTTTTTATAACCTTAGATAATACAATACATGCAAGATATAATTTTGTATTTCCTCTAGTGTTGAAATATGGAAAATATTTTTACTCTTTCTGAATTATTTCTGGCAATACGTTCCAATATTCATAAAATATAATTCATTCGGTCACTGACCCACAACTACATATCATGTTTAATTATAAACTTTTATCCACATCTCACATTTTTATCTATCTAGCTATTCAACTGATGTGCAGATTGATCAAAACACAATGGAGGGGTGGACAGCATTCATTTTATTTGTGACAGTCACCTATTTCAATAACATTTTTAAATAAATAAAAATTACTGTAAAACAAGTCTTTTTAGCTAGCATGTTATTTTAGCTAATCTGTAATTTTGTTAATCCAGAATGTCGCAAGGTCAAAATAAAGTATATTTTCACAATATAAGATTGTTGGAACTTGAATTAAATTAATATTCTGTTAATTTATGTATTGTATCAATTTGCTAAAATGGCATGTAGCTATTTCAATGTGTTTTACAGTATACAGTATCATGATTTCTGCTATCAATTACAACGTTAGCTCATGTCAGTATGTCATTTACAATATCAATACAGATTCGGTCTTGAAACGGCTATATGAGATGAGAATCACTTCAGTCTGAAAGTTATTCCATTGACATGCATGAAAACAAAATGTCACCTATTTTTCTGATCTATTTTTAATAGTAAAATCCTTAAATCTCATCTGTTCTAAATTAAAACTTGTGTGAATCTATCATTTATTTATCTGCGACAAAGAAATCCAGTCAGTTTCGCAACCATTCTGCAGAGAGACTGTGGATGAACACGCATACATTGGTCTATATGCATACATTGGTCTAGTTTGGTCTAGACAAAATGTGCTGTGAAAACTTCATTAGCTGCATAATACAATTAGCTGTATTATCGCAGGGTTATTGTGCATAAACATTCATGCATACTAATACATTTAACATTTGTTATTGCAGGTTTTTGTATTTATTCTGTGAAACTTGACGTAACTAAAAAACTTTAAACAAATTTGGTACAATGGCTACCCAGAAGGAGAATTTGGATGACTTTCTGGCACCAAGAAGAAGTCAGGGTGAACTTTGGTGGTCTCTCAGGACAAGAGAAGGCATTCCTGAATACAAGTACGCTAATAAAATTACATCAGAGGGTATCAAAAAACAAGTTCTTAACTCACCAAGAATTGAAAATGAAATCAAAGAGGTAAGATTATGTGTCATGAAACCAAAGATGGAGGATTATATCAGCTTTCATTGAAATAATAATTATAATAATAATATGAGGTTATTACGAGTATACTGCAAAGTATGCACAAAGGCAGTACAGCGAGAGTATCGACTGATGCGCAGTGAAGGTTGATGCGATCGCGTACTGTCTGAGTGCATACTTTGCAGTACCCGGTATCCTCGTAATAACCTTATCATTATATATCTTTACTCCCCGGGAATACATCATGGGAATGACAAAATTCAAATGTTTAGATCAGATTTAAGTTTTTAACTTTAACTGTGCTGGGTCCGGTCAAACCCTGGGGGCAGCCATTTTTGTTTTATCATTAGAGGACGCTTACACGTGTAATGCAGCACATCAGTGGGCAAAGTTACTAATGTTGCTTTGAGTCAAGCGTCTTGTACTTTGACTATGGCGTTGATAACATGTAGGTATTTTTATATCAGACAGTGGATATGAACTGTACAATAACTTTTTCATAGAATGACCAGCATCCTAGGGCAGGCTAAAACAGTAATATTATTGTTCCTCTTGTCATTTTGAGAGATGTATCCATCTTGACTATATAACTTGACACCGAAATGTGTTTAGAATAATGCTGGTATATGACTTACACGTAATGTATGTATGGGGGAACAGTTTGTAAACATTTCAGAATAAAATTCCAATAACAAGAAAATTACATACTGTTTATTATCTGGTTTCAAAAGGGTATAGTGGTTTACACCTCAAAATAATCTCTATTAAATGACATGTTTGAATCTGTTGGTGGGAGGAAATCATGTAGTGGTGTTTTAAAATTTAAAAGCAGGTTCTGGATGCTTGTCTGACTAGCAACTTTCTTTGCTAACAAGCTGCATTGCAAACTGCTAATATGTTCTGTACACCCAGGTGTGCTTGACAAAGCTATCCTGATTCATCAATGTACATATGTATCTGTGTCTGTATCTTAAAAGGAACACATTTTTGCTTTTAGATGTGTGTTGCAACTGGACAAGATGAAGGAGAGCTATTAAAAGAGACCAAAGCCATGCTAGATGAGATGGGTCATACATCCTCTATGGGCTCTGTACGATTTCTGGCATATGTACTACCAAAAGTATTTAAATCAATATTCAGAAATATTTATGTTAATACAGATGGAATTGAAAAGGTGAATAGTTGTCTCATTTGTATTTTTTCTCTGCTATTAAAACCACTGCAAATTTAATAAAAAAAACTGATTATTCGTATTTAAAATTTAATGTATGATGAATACAAAATGTTTAAATTGTAATTTAAATTTAAATTAACACCTTTACAATTGTAAATTTGAACTTTGTGTGCTTGTGGTATTTGTTGTTACTAATGGATTATATAGATATAACAGTAACTTTTTTTTATCAAAATCAACATTATAAGCTTTTGTCTTGACACTACAAAATTTTACTTTTTAATAAAAAAAATGTTTTGCGAATATCTTAAAATAATTCATTCAGCCAGGAGCATACATGTAAGAGTTTTTTATTTCATTTTTATATCAAACAATAACAAATTGTCGTCATGGATACAAAAAATAATTTTTAGCCCAAAACAGGGGACTAGTGAAATGAGCCATGTCCTCAGGTCGGTAAATGTGTTAGTGGATAGGTAATTCTAATCAAATTTAGAATGAAGAACACAATGGGTTTTTGTGGCACGTTCTTTTATTTAACAATTCAGCATGCTTGTGATTTTCACTCAATATAACCATTCAGCATATGGTACTGTACACATGGCTTCACATGTAGTCCCCTCCCCCCTCAGCTAAATACAAACATCAACTATATATATATATATATATATATTGATAATGACTTGTTTTCTTTCTATAACATTAATCCGAAGATTAGAATTGATTAGTTGACTAGGGCTTTGTTTTTTTTGATAGATACGAAAAACAGTAAAGGATACACCAGTTGTATTTTTACCAACTCATCGTAGTTATATAGACTTTATAATAATGTCATATATATGTTTTCACTATGACTTACCAATGCCTTGTATTGCAGCTGGACAAGGTAATGATATAGACTTTCAATTGTTTTCAAAATTTGGTTAATTTTTTATCTCACTTATAACAATTACTATTCTTTTTACAAAATATCAACAAATTGCTAAAACTAGAATGAAACTGTAATCTCAATATTGAGTTTTGATAGAAATTGTATCATTTGTATATTATAAAATATTTACTTTATATACTTATAAATGCTGAATTAATTGCCGTAGTTGTACCATGTAAAATTGTGTTTGAGTTATAATCCGCATTGTGTAAACTTCGAAATAGATATATACAGTACGGTTTGAGCATAACTTTAACGCTTAGCTGGCTGAGCTTGCTTTAAAAACTGACTCGTATCTAAACGATGCAGAGTAATCTGCCAAAATATGTCATGGGTGACAAGGGTGAATACTACAAAGTTGATAGCAATGATACTTTTTATAAAAAGTCAAAGCCAGCAGAAACCTAAGTTATGCCCATACTGTACGACATAACCGTACATTTGTGTGGGATGAATTATAGTCTAAATCGGCAAAGTTAAGAACGACAATTAAGTATTATAATTTTATTTGTAATTGTTCTGCATTTATTAATTTTGTTTTTTCCATTTCAGATTTCATGTTTATGAAGTTTGTAGGTAAATTATTACGAAACTGTGGCGCTTTTTACATGCGGCGTTCATTTGGCAAGGATAGACTGTATTGGGCAGTGTTCACAGAGTACGTTCAGCTTTTGATACGACATGGAGATTATCCAGTTGAATTCTTTTTGGAAGGAACGCGAAGCAGAACTGCTAAAAGTTTACCACCAAAACTAGGTAACTTGAGTGTTGATTTTTCTTACAGATGAAAGTCCAGCCACCTAGAAAATAGGTATTCCTGAAGCCATCTCACCACCATTTTAATCAATATTTTTTGTGAAAAGTTACAGAAATTATGCTTAGTGGGAGTTGTATGTATACAGAAAGTAGTATCGTAGTAGTTAATCATAGTCCTTTGTAATTTTTTCAATATAAGCTGACATTTTGGGCAATAGCTTTTTATCAACAATAAACCTTAAGACAATACTAATGAAGGGCTTGAAAGGCTTGGTTATTTTGAATATTACCGTATAAAAGACTACTATGACTACCTACTAATTTCTTTGCTCCTAGCAGCA